GGATGGCCTAGTTTAAAGAGAAAGTCCACTGCCTAAGGACAAATAAATTTTAAATTGTCTATCCCAAGATCCAACTACATAGCTTCAAAAACAATGGCATTGGCAAGGTAAGGGGAAAAATGACTTTGCAACCATAGACATAGGGAGGACTGTGAGAGTCAGTGCTAGAATGCTCAGATTCCAGTGGAAGAACGTAAAGCAGGTTTATTACACTAAGAGGAAAAAAGTAGATCAGAATGTTACCAGAGCTCCCCAAAGGAACTCCCCAAAGGAGCTCCCCAAAGGAACAAGACCAGTTGATGGATCCCAACATGTGCAAGGGTTACTTTAGGACCTTCATAACTCAGGACTTATATTTAACACATATTAACTTGTCCTAGATATCTAAATGCTGTGCCACCTAAAATAAAGTTTACAGTGTACATCAGACATATCAGGAGGAATTGGGGAAATATGTTCCTGAAAAGAAACTGTTGTTAGAGTAGACAGAAAGGTGAAATTGTTACTGGAGATTAAAAGACAAAATAGAGCAGAAGATACACAAGATCAAAGTAAAGTTTATGAAAGGATAATCATAGGACTTTAAATAGTTTTAGTCAGTAAAATAAATTTATCAGGAAACATAGTTTATCCATTGGGATAAAATGTAGCCTTGTGACTACCAGGATAACCCTAGTCAGAATGCAAAAAATTAGGTCTATGTTCCACTGTTTCTGTCACAAAACCCCAGGAAAGTCATCTGACCTATGTGTCAATTTTGTTAAATTGAGGACGTATATGCGAAATATTATATTAGTGCTGGATCACAATAAATGTTATTTAAATATTAATATTTATATATAATAGAGAAATTACATTGCAGAGGCATATTGGGTTGACAATTGGCTTCAATTGTAATGAACTGACAATTGTAGCACAGTGAACAAACTAACTTGTACTAAAAATGAATTAATGGCATTTTATAAGTAAATGTTGCCAAAATTGGAACATGTTAGGGAAAGGACAGAAATCACTGAAAGAAGAGTATACACACACACAACACATAAGATATATATGTTCATATATATTAATTCATAAAATATTTTTGAAATGAAAAGTTACTTTCCCATTTGAATATTGCTAGTTTTATTTTTTTTCCTCTTGAGCCCTGCTGTCAGATGCTTCAGTCAGAGGGTAATAATCAGAGGTAGCATTGAAAGGAAGGCATTTTGGCTTCAGGGAAAATTCTTCTTAAACAGATGAAGCTGTGGCAAAATCCCTTTCAGCATGAATTAAGGTAAAAGAGACATAAATGGGAAAGAATAATAGGGGAGGTATTGCCTACAATGTCCCAGTTTTTCAGTACATCTGCTGCCCCTATTCATCTGCATGATATGAAAGTACAGAAACCCAAAGTATTTTGACAAGAATGCTCAAAGAAGAGAGCCACTAATACCATATTTCCTGATTGATTATTTGAAAGAGAGTAACTGTGTGATACCTCAGAACATGAGAGAGCAGAATAGGAAGAAAATGAGTATGAGGCATGTTCAGTTAGAGAGAGAGGGGAAAGGAGGGCTTCTTGTGTCCTTCACTTCCACTGGGGTGAAAAAGAGAGAAGAGTTCTTTACAGCACTGTAACAACCACACACTTCAAGGCAAATACAACCTCATGAAATTGCCAAGGTAGTTGCATTGGTTCTGATAACCTATGTCAAATAATTTTTAAGGCAGGAACATTCAAAACTGTTAGAGTCAGGGAAGTAAGAGGCTTGTAGAGTAAGAGCCAATGTCATGGGGGGGTCACTAGGTGACTCCAGGAGAAAATAGCACTCAAAATTCAACACAGGGTGCAGAGAGGATAGACCACCCTGAGAAAGGAGGCATTGTGGGAGTCCTCCTTCGGTCACCCAGGTAGCACAGCCCATGGAGCAGAGGCTTACTCAGTTTCCACACCCAATCCTAAAGACAGGTCAACTTCCTTTGCATGCCAATGACAAGGGAAGGGTGCACAGGTGGGCAGAGACTCAAGGAGAAAAGTGGTAGTCTATCACAGATTATCAACTTCTGATTGACAGAAAAATTAGTAAACAGTTTAAGTTACACCTCAGTAAAGGTATATTTGAGGGCAAAAACATTAATCTACTTTTAAGGGGAAGGAAGACATGTGGTTCAGCATACCATTAACATAAATAGATTCACTTAGAACAAGATAAAACTACAATAACAAATAAGTCTCCACATCTACCTTTATAAAATGTAACACTGCACATGAATATGGTATGTCATAATATTGACTCAGAAAGGAGTGGCCAATCGAACATTATTATCAGTGAGTAACTCACATGAAAACATAAATTTACATTAACATACAATTTAAACCATATAACCATCACCAAGATGGTAAAACAAAATAAATTGGAAATAGTTCCATCATAATCTTAAACAGCAGTACCCTTAGTAAAAGTGTGAACTCTAAAACCACAGTTACTTTCTGTCTCACAGTTATTTTCTAGTGATTTAAAATGCTTTTGTCTCAATATTCTCATCTACAAAACTGAACGATTATGATTTAGTCCACAGATTTGATCTGAGGATTAACAGCAAGGTGCTTCCAAGGTGCATGACAAATAACACACATCCAATAAATACAAACTACTTATTATTGTTTTAAGATTATAGTAATTATTACAGTACTGGTTGTTCCATCTTTAAGAGTAAATGTGTGAACATTAAAAATAATACCAGTTTGAGGAAAAACATTTCATAATTACATATGCTGCATTTGTCTAAAGCTGCATTGTTAAAAATTTAAATAACAAAGTAAAATATAGATCAACTGATTTATACATAAACATTTTCTTGTATATAATACAATGTAACACAAATGGATGTAAAATTCAATTATGGATACAAGCACTAATAATGAATCTGAAAACAATTATTGAAAGTGTAGTAATACAAACAAATAGGATAATGTTTTTTACAATTTAGTTTACATGACCTTCTCTTAATGACAAACCTGACAGGAATTGAATTAGGTGGCAATATGAGGTTGTGGGAGTAAATCAATGGAAAACAGGTATAAACACACTTGTGAGGGTGACGGAAATATTCAGATGATTTTAATGATGCTTAGAGGACTATAAATATTTCTCAAAGCTCATTAAGTGGTGGATATTTATCTAATAAGGCATATTTAGTATTTGAGATTACATATTAATCTATCTGCCTTTGAAATATCAGGTAAATATTGTACAAATCATTGTAGAAATATGTTGAAGAAACTTACATACACAAGTATAATTTATTATCATCCATGCTTTACTGTAGTAATTTTTTGTTCTTTTATTTCCTATATAAATGTTTTACAATGATTATCTAAATATTTAAAATTTTTCTGTAGAGTTTTTACCATGAATGGCTATGGACTTTGTCAAATGTTTTTTTCTGTGACTATTGAGATGATAATGTGATGTTTGTCTTTGGCTCTGTTGATATGGTTGTGTGTTGAACCATTCCTGTGTCTCTGGGATGAATCCTACTTGGTCATGGTGTATAATCTTCTTGATGATTTGCTGCATTCTGTTTGCCAGTGCTTTATTAAGGATGTTTGTGTCCTGTTCATTAGGGAGATTGGCCTGTAGTTTCCTTTCTGGGTTGGGTCCTTCTCTGGTTTTGGTGTCAGGGTAATACTTGTTGTCAGGAATGATTTTGGGAGTATTGCATCCCTTTCAATTTCATTAAAAAGTCTGAAGAGAACTGGCATCAGATTTTCTCTAAATTTCTTGTAGAATTCAGCAGTGAAACCATAAAATCTTTGGCTTTTATTTGTTGGTAAGTTTTTAATTACATTTTCAATTTCATTGACTGATATTGGGTTATATAGAATTTTAATATCTTCTTGCTTCAGTTTTGGTAATTCATATTTATCTAGGAATTTGTCCATTTCTTCTATGTTTTCTATTTTATTAGATTAAGGTTCTTGAAGTAGATATTGATAATCTTTTGAATTTCCATAGGAGATTTGCAGAAAAAAATATGATATTGAGACAAACTAAAACAAACAATATTTCTAAAGCCCATCAGATATTACCTACTAAAGCTTTGGTTTATTGTCTAACCTATCTACATTCAAGCACCCCATTAATATAATTGAAAATTATACCTACTTTATGGTCTTGATGGAGAGATTAAATTGGAAATATTTTATATTATGTAGCCATATCAAAAATCTAGGCATTTTGATATGCAAACATTGGAGCCAGAGATTTAAGTTAGAAAAGGCAAGGATATGGACTCCTCAATATGTTCAAATTATTTAAGTGGTAAGTGGTTTTCTAATGGTAGTTTCTATTATTCTTATTATTTGGATAAATAAACCAACATCAAAAGTCTACTTTTTTGTACTCTGAAGTTAGCTGGTCATTTATATCTTACTATCAACAGGGAAGGCTTGGAGATTTTTGGGTTTGTGGACAAACTAGCATCAAGATTGTAACTTTTGTCCTTTGTTTAATCACTTTTTAACTCATTTCAACAGTGGATTTTCTATGTCATTATGTTTAATTCATCTTATCACCATATGGCTGAACTGAGTAGCAAGGACAAAGGATATACAATAAAAATATAGCTTCAAATTCTAAAATGGATTAAGAGGCTAGTTAATCTCTCAGTAATTACTTGAAGGAATTTAATCACCAAATTTTACATAAAATAATGGGAAGATACAAAAATACACTCACTCTACTGGCCATAGAAAGGTGTGGATGCTATTAACAAGTCTACTTACTTCACACATTATTTGACTTTCCACCTATTGTACATGCCTATTCCAATTTATAAAATTCGTCACCACATTATACATGACAACCACACAGACTTATGGCCATGGAAAAAGGGAAAGAAAAGTATTTGTAAAACATAAACATCAATGAAATAGAAATATATAATTACTTACTCTCACATTTTATCTCCTCTTTGTGACTTTTAAATACATTCACAATTGATCTCAACACCTATTAGGTTCCTTTCAACAAGAACAATCTCTGGACTCTCCTTTGAATCTGTTTAGTCTTGATACTATAAATGATGGGGTTCATCAAGGGTGGAAAAAGGATGTAGATGTTGCCCATGAGGACTTGAACCAGTGGGGAGAGGTGTTTTCCAAAGCGATGCACCATGGTCAGACCAATGATGGGGATGTAGAACACCAAAACAGCACAGATGTGAGACACACAGGTTTGCAAGGACTTGAATCTCTCCTCTCTGGATGCAATGGCTAAAACTGTGTGCAAGATCAGGATATAGGAGATGAGGATGAGCACTGCATCCAACAGAAGGGTGCTGATCACCAGAGCGAGACCGTAAATGTAATTGAAGTGGATGTCTGAACAAGCTGTTTGAATTAAATCTTGGTGCAAACAGAAAGAGTGAGAGAGAATATGAGGACGACAATATTTTAAGAACTTAAGGCTGATGATGACTGGAGGACAGAGTAAGAAACTCCTACATAAGATTATTACCCCAATTTTCATGATTTTTTCATTTGTTAGGATGGAGGAATAGCGTAGAGGGTTGCAAATAGCAATGTAGCGGTCAAAAGACATAGACAGGAGGACAGAGGACTCCATGAAGGACAGACCATGGATGAAATAGGACTGAGCAATGCAGGAATCCAGGCTGATCTCTTGAATAAACCCCCACAGTACTCCCAGCACTGTGTGCACCGTGGAGAGCCCCATGGACAGATCAGTGAAGGCCAGCATAGCCAGGAAATAAAACATGGGCTCATGGAGGCTTGGCTCAGTCCAGATCACGTGGAGCACCATGCAGTTTCCCAGGAACACCATGGCATAGGTCAAGGAGAAAAGCATGGAGACCCAGGGATAGTAACTTTCTAGGCCAGGAAAACCAGTGAGAAGAAATCTGGAACTATTTAAATTTGAAATAAACATAGTAGACATTAATAAGAGACTGGAAATTTGCTGGAGTTACAGGAAATTTCATAAGAGTTTGCATTACCAAATTGTTCATTAGGTTTATCTGCTTTGAAGAGGAAATATAATTAAATGCAATTTCCACTAGCAGCATAATACAGTCCTAAATCTTATCCTTTAAGGCAAATATCTGTTGTCTTGACATGGAACTTATATTGATCATGATGAGGGATGCCAGAAAATTAGGGATTTTTATGCAGAAACTGTAATGCTAATTGGCACATGGGATTTAAACTGCAGGCTAGACTTCTGGGAGTCCCTGCAAAATCCTTAAGGAATATAATGCATGAGCACAGCTGTGTAGTTCTGCAATGTCCATCTTTGCTCAGAAGGGACTGTGAGGTACACGGGCCATTTTTATCTTTAGTACCACAGTTGTAATTTTCACTCCTTCCCATAATGTATAATATCCCAAAGAAATAGACTGTTTTACATGCTCAAATTTTTTAGAAAATAAAATATTTCCATGAGAAACTAAACAAACAAAATGGAATGTGGATTTTTACCACATTCTACACTGTTAGTTCCTTTCTAAACCATTTACCAATTTAATTTGTACTGTTGTTTCTCTATTTTTCAGGTGCCTCTTCATTATAGATGGGACTTATACCTTTTCTAAATGTTACAGTATTGTTAACTCATATCTCTCACTTATAAGATAGCATAATGAGATTAATTTTAAACCAGGAGCAAGTAAATAAGTATCTTTTGCAATATCTATGTTATCAATGTCTGTGATAACTGTCTAGATGGAACAATATGGGTTTTTCAAACATGTCACAATCTCACAGACTCTCACCTACTGTAGGTCTATACCTAGTACAGAATAATTTCAGAAACTCTCTCATATTAAGTAGATAACATACCATGCCATTAATTTCTTTGGTTAAAAGAGTCTATGAGTTGTAAGGTCTTGTAAGAATAAGTCTAAGATTTCAGAATACAAATGTGTCTCAAGCGGAATCATTTGTTTGTATGGTTGGGTCACTGAAAATTCTTTCTTACAGGGAATGAATCCAATTTTTAGATATCATGGAATAGTTACAAATATAAAGAAAATATTCATATATTATAAACACTTAGGCATTATCCTCAGAACACAACTGAATATCTAAATAGAAGTCTTGGAAGGAAGGAATTAATAAATAAAGATGAAAATGACTTCTAATACAACTAGAATATTTTTCTCCTTTAATCTTTCACTAATCTGAGCTATACTGGTTCACACTTGACTATTAAATTAGCTCTACTATATTTGCCAAGAGTTTTCTTTTATATTTTTAGCATCTCTATTCTCAAGAGTAATTTTCTATGATTCAACTTTTCTTGTTGAATTACCATGGCTTTAATGCTACTCTCAGAGTAAAACTGGAAAATTCTCTGTCCATATTAATGTCCTGAAAGACCACATGGAGAATTGGTATTACTTTCCTCTCATTTTTTATTAGAATCACAAGTGAACTTCTCTACACCTGCAATTTTTTTACTTGAATGTTTGTAATTCAATATTTAATTGATTTACCAGATGTAGTTGTGCTCAGATTGTCTATTTTTTTCTTGAGTACAAAAGTATTTTGTACTACTTTTTTCATGTTGTATTGACTCCTTCCCTTGCTTATTCAATATTTTGCATTTTTATATTGTAGAAGTCTTTCAACTACAGTGTTTTTTTAACCTTTTCAAAGGCTATTGTGAACAGTCTTATTTTCATGAATTCTATCTTAGATCTTTATTTGTGCATAGGAATGCTACTTTTTTTATTATGCATTTTGTATTCTACTTAACTGAATTTATCTTAAGAGGATTTGAAGCACAATTAGTGTTTTCTAGATATAGAACCATTTTATCTGCAAATGGATAATTTGACTTCACCTTTAAAATTTATATCCCTTTTATTTCTTTCTCTTTCTTATTTCTTTCTTTTCCTTTCTTTCTCTTACTGAAATTTCAAGTACTGTATTGAATAAAATAATTAGAGTCAATAACTTTGTCTTCTTGATTTTAGAGGAAATGCTTTTAATTTTTCCTTTTTCAGCATAATGAGTTATGGATTTACTATGTGTATCATTTATTGTGTTGAGGTATGATCCTTCAATACTTAGTTTATTCATGGTTATTATTATGAAGGGGCATTTAATTTTTTTGTACTTCAATGTATTTACCTTAAAATATATGTAGAAGCATGTAACAGTATTGTAGGGCTCTTAAAAAGAAGCAAGTAATAGCTTGGGAGAGCCACAAAACACTTACAAGCTAGGTCTTGCATAAAGGTTGGGTGACTTTGACAGACATAAATAGTCCTACCAATTTCTTAATGTTCATTTTCTTTTATGGTTTGTTTCATTTTATTAGTACATATTTTCAGTACATAAATTTTACATTTATCTTAGGGAATAGGCACATGTACATCACACATCTTGACTTTTTTTATTTTAAAAAACTGAATGTAAGGAAAGGGATCAGAAGAGGAAGTAAAAAGAAAAGTGATGTAAGAAGGGACATTTAATTTTATTGAAAGTTTGATCTGCATTTATTGAAAAGATCATGTAATTTTATCTTTGATTTTATTTATGTGATGTTTCATATTTATTGATCAGTACATTTTGAAACACTTCTATCTCTAGTATAAAACTGAGTACTTAATGTCTATGATTTTTTAATGAGATGATAAATTTGATTTGCAGTTATTTTAGTGTGGATTTTTGCATGCATCTTCATTGAGAATATTTGTCTGCATTTTTCCCTTATTGTCACAGAGTAATACAAAGTTTACACGATGAGTTTGGAAGAGTTCTTTCCTCTTCTATTTTATGGAATAGTTTAAAAATTTTTTAAATTAATTCTTCAAATATCTGTTAAAATCATCAGTGAATCCAGATGGTTGTGGATGATTTTCGCTGTTGTGAGAATTTTAACTATTGTTGCAATCTAATTCTTAGTTATTGACCTACGTAAGTTTTTTTTAACATATCCTCAGTTAAATTTTGTCAGATCTTGTATAAGTCTTTGTCTTCTTAAACAATTTCACTTGTGTGTCATAGGGAATTAATTGAAATCCACAGAACTAATCACATTTAATCTACAAAGGTGGATAAAAATGGAGTGACTCACAGAAACAAGACCAGTTAATGGCTCTCAGCCTTGTATAAGGGTTGTTTTAAGACCTGATGACACAGAACCACCTCCTTTCCTTGCTGAGAAGACTCTATTTAATACTGTATTAATACTTTCTAGATATCTGGGTGTACTGTAACTTAAACTTTACATTGTGCATCTGTCTGGTGGAAGAAAATTAGAAAACTTAATCTAGAAAAGCAACTGTTACTAGAAGAATTGGGAAAGTGATGAGGATACTGGAAATTACTGGACAAAACAGTGGAGCGGATGTATAGAATCAAAACAGAACTTACTAATGGAGTCTCTTGGGATGTTAAGGATTTTCAGTTAGTGCAGTGATTTTCATATAATTATCAGGAGATCCAATATCTTTGCATTAGGACAAAATGTAGATTCATGATGAAGAAGATCATCTCTAAAGTCAGATGGTCACTAATGGTCCATTTCACTATTAATAATTATACTACTTTTAAAAAATTTTTTCTAATTGGTAAATTTTTAAATTGAGAAAGTATATGTAATGCTCTTTTAATGATGTCTGCAACATAATAAATGTTACACAGATGTGAGTAATAATTTATAAATACAAAGATGACATTTAGTTTTTATATTTGTAGTTTATGTGGTGTTGGCAACTGCTTTAAATGTAGTACAATGGAAAAGAAATTATACCAATATATATTTGCACCGTCCTATAAGTAGATGTTGCAAAGGTTAGGACTTATTAACATAAGAAATGACCTGGTTGAAAGTAGAGTTTAAATGTCTTCACAAATCTATTGTACATATAAAAAGAATTTATATACATGTATACATGTTCCATGTGGATTTTTAAAATGCAAATGAATTTTGACATTTGAATATTGTTGATTGTATTTGGCTTTCACTAAAGCCCTGCTGTTGTTAAGAATCTCCCTTGCAGAATATCAAATAGAATTAGGCTTGGGAAGAGGAAGCTTGGATATAAAAAAATTCCTTTCAAAAACCACAACAAAAAATAGGTGAACCCCTTCCAGCATGAGATGGTGGAGAGAGATGGAAGAAGAAGGAAAGTAAGAAAGACATCATCTTAAAGAACAGTTATATCTACATATTGTCTAGTCCTCATTCAAAATATCAGGCTATGAAAGGATAGAAATCCAATGTATTTGGAGAGGCCAAATAAAAGAAAGAGACAGTAATTCCCTATTTCTCACTTATATATCTTTTCCATTCAAGTTCTGAGATTCTCCTCGGAATATGGGACATATCTTAGAACAATGGAAGAACACTGGAGTAAAAATGAGTGTGTGGCATATTCAGTCAAAGAGAGAAAGACTTCTCCTAGTTCCCTTCTCTTCCACTAGACACGAAGTGATCTAGAAGTTGTTTACATCTCTGTAGAGAACCCATAGCTCATTACACTTGAGTAACATTACACTTGAGATGTTCTTAAGATGGATACATTGACTGTGTGCAGACTGGGCAAAGACTGTCATTGAGGTCCATAAAACACATTTTCAATCCGGAAAGTAGAATGTGGTTCAGGTTCCAGGACTTGTTGAATAAAAGCCAAAGATATGGAAGGATCACTGAATGAATCTAAGGGAAATGAGCAGTCAAAATTCCACACAGGGTGCAGAACTGAGGAGGTTCCATACAAAGTAAGGAGGCACAGTGAAATGCTTCCAACATGCATCAGTCAAGTAATTTAACAATTAGATTGTAGGCTCAGAAAGTTCAATCCTCAAAGACATGTAGCTTCCCCTTTGATGTAAGTAATACCCAGTTTGGGACTGATTTGCCAGAGACCTGTGTAGAAAGCAAATAGCCTACAATGTGTTATCAACTTCAAGTTGGCAGAAGAGTTACTCAAATAATTTATATCATAGCACAGTAAAGATATTTTTAAGCTCAAAAGTATTGATTAACTCTTAAGTGAATGGTTGTCGGTACACTGTTAGCATAAATAGAGTCACTTGGAACAAAAACAAAAAGATAAAACCTCCCTACATGTAAAAGTGCAAAACCTGAGATGGAATTTTGGTATATTATAGAATAGGCTGAGAAAAAATGGCCTATTAAAGAATATTTTCAGTTGGTAACTCATTTAAAGTATACACTTACATTAATGTATTTACAGCATAAAATTTTTGACTTAGTAAGGCCACCATAGAAAAATAGTTCTACATAATATGAAACAGTAGTAGCTGTAATAAAGGTACTAATTCTGAAATCAACTGTCCAACTGTTTTCTAATAATTGTACACCCTCCTCAATATCGTTAGTGACAAAATTGAATGACTATGATTTACCTCACAAATTGGTCTTGAAGACTAAAAGCAAAATTATACTTGTTGCCTCTGATTAAAATAAATGAATTATTTTTAAATTATCATAATCATTATTTGATGGTTCTTGTATTTATAATTGTAAAGATATAAGACAGATAGAGTAGAAGGGAGGTTGGATAAGATCAAAGCTCTGTATGTGCATGCACAGAAGTGTCACAATGAGACCTATTAACCTGACAATTAATGGGCTTTAATAATTATATACGATTTTTAAAAATTTTTCTTCATTAAGGAAAACTGTCACAATCATATGGTATCTATGTTACTAGTAAGTTTATTCAGAAACAACAAAACAAAACTGTAAGATGTAGATAAATTCATGAATGACTAAACACTTTCTTGTGTGTGACACAATGGAACACTAACAACAAATGGAATAAAAATGACCTATGCATGAAAGCAGCAGTAAGAATGAATGTCCAAAGTGGAATGAAAGTGAGCAATTCAAATAGAAAAGATTATGTTAGTCATTATTTTATTTCTATTAGATTTTTTCAAAGGTAAACCTATATGACAAAATTAGATTAGTGGCTGATAAGAATTTGAAGTAGTGGAAGGGGAAAGATGAATTAGTTATTGGTTGGAAATATAGTTTAATAGGCTCTAAAAATATTAAATAAATTAATTGTGCATTATAAAAATGATGTTGTAAGGTAACAAATACACAAACAGTGTGTAAATGAGTAAACTTCATTAACACCCATGATTTACTTTGGTGAATTTTGTATCTTTATTTATCATACAAATATTTTACAGTGGTCACAGCATCACTTAAAAACTTTACTTTAAAAAGAAGTACATAGAAAAAGTAGGAAAGGAAGAGCAAACATGAGATTAAAACAACTGAAAGAGACAATAATAAATCCAAATCCATAATGTATTACCCAATACAATTTTGCATACCATTTAACCAATGTGTATCAAAAGCTCTATTTATATAAAGGAAAATAAAATCTACCACAGAGTCTTGAGAGATGAAATTAGAAACATTTGCAGTAGTCAGTCATAGTACTGATGTATTCATTTATATTCTTTTAATTGTAACCTGAGATTTGAATGAGATTAGACAATTTTATAAGCTGAAGTTAACATTTTAAAATGATTGAAATGACTTTCCAATGGTACTTGGTATTTGTACTACTTGAATATATACACAAACCACAAAAGTTTACTTCCTCCTACTCTTGTACTTATTACTGTACTTGATGAAAAGCTCATTCCCTCTTCAGAGGGTGGGTTAGGGTTGGCAGATTACCTAACAACAAGATAACATTTTTTGCTGTTTGCTTTACTACCTGTGATTTAACTAGTCCAATCTTTTTGTGCTACTTATTCATTATTTACTCATATGGTTGACCTAACTGCATAGGTGGAATCATGTATAAAACAGAAATATAGGATAAAGTTATAAAATTGACTAAAAAATTGTTGATCTTCTGGTAATTATTTGAAGGATTTTAGCCACCAGAATCTATTTATTTCTAATGGGTGGATACAAAAATACTCTCTTTTTACTGAACTGGTCACAATAAGGTTGTTACTAAAGAAACTACATCATGTATTAGTATGATTCTCAGGATATTTTACATGCAATTTCCTATATATAAAATTGATGACTATAGCATACAAGATAATTCCATCAAAAAATAATGGTTGAAAACAGGACAGGAAAGTACTGTAACATATAAAACAACATTAAAATAAAATTGAGTAAATGCATTTTTAATTTCTTACTGCTTTCACCATATTAACTCCACTTGTTGACTGCTAAATACATTCACATTAAATCTCAAAACCTAAGATTCCTTCAGAAAGAACAATCTCTGGACTCTCCTTCGGATTTGTTGGGTCTTGATACTATAAATGATGGGGTTCATCAAGGGTGGAAAAAGGATATAGATGTTGCCCATGAGAATGTGAACCAGTGGGGAGAGGTGTTTTCCAAAGCGATGCACCATGGTCAGACCAATGATGGGGATGTAGAACACCAAAACAGCACAGATGTGAGACACACAAGTTTGCAAGGACTTGATTCTCTCCTCCCTGGATGCAATGGCTAAAACTGTGTGCAAGATCAGGATGTAGGAGATTAGGATGAGCACTGCATCCAACAGCAGGGTGCTGATCACCAGAGCCAGAGCATAGATGCTATTGAAGCGGATGTCTGAGCAGGCCATTCGGAGTAAGTCTTGATGGAGACAAAAGGAGTGAGAGAGGATATGAGGACGGCAGTAGTTTAAAAACTTCAGGCGGATGATAGCTGGAGGTATGAGTAAAAAACTCCTACATAAAATTATTACCCCAGTTGCCCTAATGTTGTCATTGGTTAGGATGGAGGAATAGCGTAGAGGGTTGCAGATGGCGATGTAGCGGTCAAAGGCCATAGCCAGGAGAACTGAGGATTCCATTAAGGACAGACCATGGATGAAGTAGGACTGGGCAATGCAGGAATCCAGATTGATCTCTTCAATGAACTTCCACAGGACCCCCAGCACTGTGTGGACTGTGGACAGCCCCATGGACAGATCAGTGAAGGCCAGCACAGCCAGGAAGTAGAACATGGGCTCATGGAGGCTTGGCTCAGTCCGGATCACATGGAGAACCATGCAGTTTCCGAGGAACACCACGGTATAGATGAGGAAGAAGGGGATAGAGACCCAGAGGTAGTCAACTGCTAGGCCAGTAAAGCCAGTGAGAACAAATCCAGAACTATTGAGATTAGATATAGAGATAGTAAACATTAATAAAAGACTAAAAAGTATCTACAGAGTGATTGAAAACTATGTAGGCTTTTAGTATCCTGTTCTAGTAATGTTTATCAGCTTTTGGGGAGAAGATTAAATGTAATACAGTTTTCATAAGGAGTAAAATAACATCCCTATTCTTCACTCTTTAGAACAAATATCTCTTCTGTAGACATGGAGTCTTCTGTGTTAGTGACAAAGGATGCAAGAGAAGTAGGGAATTTTATACATAAATATAAATGCTACTGGACACATGGGATTTATCCTTTAGCCTAGACTCCTGGGAGTTTACATTCTGCCCTAAAAGAAAATAATGCATGATTACAGATGTGCAGTTGTGCTGTGTGACATCATTCTCAAGAGAATGTAAAATACATAGATCAATTTTATCTTCAGTAACGCAGCTATGCCTTTCAGTTGTTGCAACATTTCATAAGATCCCAAAGGAAATGAACTGGTAAATGCTGTACTTTGCACTACATAAAAATCAGGCAAAAGAAGCTACACAAGTGGAATTTGAACTTTTTCCCACATTCCACAATGTTTATTGCCTCTAAATTATTTAACCATTTAAACTATAACTTTCTTCCTTGTTTTTTATGCACCCCTTTATCCTATTTTTTACATCATTTCTGAATAATATTGTTACTTCTCACAAGTTTCATGTTAAGAAAATGTATTTGGTATATATTTTGATCTAGGGAATATGAAACGTGTTTTAAACTTTTTCACTCATGAAAGTGTTAGCTATACACTGATAGAAGAAAATTAATCATTTAACATACCATATTATTGTAATAAAGCAAATGGTCATAAAGATAGCTTAAAGATAACACAATGCTATTTGGAGGTTTTCCAGGGATTACAAAATTACAGTAATGTAGTTCTGCTTTGATCTCTCACTGTGTGTTGCAGGAGTTAATTTCTTGGTGTTAAATTAGACTGTATTTGCCTAGATGTTTTATTTTATACTTTTAACATCTGTTTTCTTGAAGGATAATGCTGTTTAATTTTATTTTCTTACATTTCCTTGCCTTTGAATCTGCCCTTATAGAATGAGTTGAAAAATACTCCATCTACATAATTTTCTGAAAGAGTTCATGTAGAAATGGTGTAATAGACATTTTCTTTTGATCAATGTCTGGGACTGAAAATAAAATGAATTTAATATATTTAGTTATGTTTATATTACACATTTCTGCTTGAATGGAAAAGTGCTTTGTTCCATTCCTGAAGTTTGTATATTTTTGCTAAGCATTTAAATTTATTAGCAAATTGCCCCAATACTCACTTACTATTCTTTTAACACCAGAGCAATCTGATGTGAGGTTATCTGTTTTATTTATAATAGTGACAATTTGTATATTCAATTTTTAGATCAATCTAGGAGGATTATGTTTGATATTTCAAAATAATAGTTGTCTCTTTGATTCTTTATTATTATTATTTTGTGTTTCAATGAGTTAATATCCGGTATGACATTTTAATTTTTTCTACTTATTATATGTTTAATTGGCTTATTTACCATTTTTTCTGTTTTAACTTGATTCATTTTTATTGTATGGCTTCAAGTTTCTGATCTTCAGTGTCTAACCTCCTTTTTTCTTAATGTGTATTTCATCTAAAATATTTTACTTTTCATCTCTAAAAAATGAATTACATTTTTGGCATCTTCCTATTTCTTACTTAGATATTAAACTTCATCATAGCTGCTATTTGAATTATTTTATGTACTATTTATAATATTAGTATCATTTCTATACTAGGCTCTGTGAATTGATGTTTCCTCACTAATTTTCAATCTTATTGCTTCTATACATGCCTGCTAATCTTTTCATTGGATACCAGATATTGTGAAATTTGCTTTGATAGTTGCTGAACTATTTTATGTTCCTATATAAATTCATGAAGGCTTCTCTGGAGGAAGGATATGGTACATGGTGTCAGATCGAACATTTCTGGTCTCTTATTCAATGTGTGTATTCTACAAAATGCTGTTGAATCCTAAGATTTTCTTCCCTGACATATACTAATAGGTGTTTTTATACTGTTTTCTATTAATAATAGTTACACGAAGAACTTTGAGTGATAGTTCCCGAGCCCCCAGTAGTTTTATCACATGCACATGGTCGTCAGCATTGTGCTGAATCCTTAAGGACTCTGTCAGTCTTCAACTTTCTCGTGCTGTGCACCTCTCTCGTACTTTGTGTTCTTTTGATCAAAATATAAATAGTTTCTTCTCCCAACACTCAGAAGCTTCTCATCATGTTAGGAATCTAACATGCTCCTTCTCAGTTGCCTTTCCTTATTCTATGGTCTTGTAACTTTCTTAATTCTGTAAATCAAGAATGTCTCAACTAATCTTAGCCTGCATCTCAATTACTTCTCTTCTTCACTTATTTCATCTACGTATTTATTTATTTTCTTCTCTTCCTATTGCCAATGGTTTAAGTTTTGACACTCATTTTGAGATACAGGGTATGATCTTCATAGCTATCTGCTACTAAAGACTTGGGCGTTCAGGTGCCAGACAGGGAGATATACACTTGCACTGATTGAGACTTAAAACTTAGGCAAGTATGGTATCTATACCCCCCTCAAAGCCTCTGCATGTATCTGCAGCAAGGGTTAGGTGTTTTAATATTGATATTAAAATTTAGAGAAAAATAAAGTCTTAAATATTTCTCTTTTTCTTCTTCTTTTTCCCCCTTTTTAATGTTTTTGTAAATACCATTAGTTTAGGCAGAGGATGTTAAGTATTTGCAGTGGTATACCTCTGAGTATGTATGTATGTGATAAAAAGAGGGAAAGATCATCACAGAATCAAGGACTTTTATCAATTTATCCTCAAATAAATAGAATCTATAATCTTGGAGGAAACTAATTTTGTATATTCACTATAAACAATTCATATTGTTTGAAGGGAATATGTATTATATCTATTGTTAAAATTTAATAACTGAAAAGTCAATTTGTGTTTAAAGTCTCCTATACCTACCTGTAGCCCAGCATCTCTAGGACTAGAAAACTGACATAGAGAGATGACCAAGACTGTTTTTTACAAGTGTGAGAAAAGTACAACTAATGTTTTGTATTAGTATTATGGAGCAACTGCACCATTAGTTTGGGACAAGAGCTACAGATGTGTGGTACAGTGTAATCATAGGGGTAAATATTCTGTTGTGAAAATGGAAATATAAAGTAAAGTAATGAGATGGAAACAACCTTATTTTGTGCTGCAATTAAATTTTGAAAGTTGTCCCTTCTAAACAAAAAGCATTCAATGAATTGATGTTGACTTTATCTAAATTCTGTATGATCATGTGTCACTTTCAATATATCAGAGAAAAAGTAACTTCTAAAGAATAAAATATTGTCTAAATATTATAATGTTATGTAATATAATTTAAAATGGGAATCATAAGCTGATATAAATTGGAACATATAAGAGAACTACCATAATAGAATGAAGGAAATTGAGGTACAAGAAACTAAGATACATTCTAACATCTAAGGTTGTCCTGTATAGGAAAAGGTAATTAAAGGAAACATAAAATAGGAAGGAGATTATTTGGACACACAAACACACATACACACATAAATACACTTCCACATAACATGTACAAAGTTTTATTAAAAAGATAATTCCAAAAAAATATTTACTTAATATTAAAATAGCTCCTACACAGTGAATAAAGTGTTTCTTTCACTGATTTCTGCCTGATGCCTTGATTAAAAGAACTAGTACTTCTGGATATGGACTCAAAAAAACATATACTCAATATACCTATTAATTATCACAAAAATTAATGCTCCCACCCAGACACCAGTGGGTCAGGAGTGCAGATGCCAGCCAGAAGCCTACCTGGACAATAGCAACACAGGTGCGCAGGCCCCAGCCAGGGCCTGCCCAGACACCTGCTGCTCAGGACATGTAGGCCCGAGCCAAAGGCCTGCCTGGAAAGAAGCTGCACAGCCACACAAGTCTCAGACAGAAGCCTGAGCAGATACCACTGATAAGTGCAAGCAGACCCCAGCCAGAAGCCTGCCCAGACAATAGCCCACCAGAAGGCTGTCATCCTGAACCCAGGTATTGGTGCAGTGCTGAGCAGCAGAGAGAAGGCCTCTCTGAGGCTTGTTGAGATTTGTACCTGAATCAGAGAGCAAAGAATCACCTCAATAAAGGTGCAGCAGATTGCATTAGTTGAAAGGAATAGACACATAAACAAGTCTCAAAACCAGATTTGTTTCTCTGGTGTGAGAAACTAAAAGTGTAAATAAGGACCAAAATGTATACTGATACTGGGAAATAGGAAGAAAAGGTTTAAAGGGGTAGGGGAGGTGGGAAGGGTAGGGGAAAGGAAAGAAGGGAAAGGAAAAAATATGGGAAAAGGAAAAAATGAAAGCAAAGTCTTTGTAAAGAGAGAAGAGTGAAGGGATTGAAAGGAGGGCAGCGGAATGGGGAAAAAGTAAGAACCAAGATACGTCATGTAAAGGTACAAGTTCCCAGAGATGAATGTAACTATTGTATACCTAAAATGTGCCAATAAACTTAATTAAAAAAATAGATTATAGATCATCAAAGACAACCCCAAGGGCAATGAGATGAAACACTCTGAACCTCAATAACCTGGACTCTCTGAACTGGCAATGAAAGAGGATCTAAAAAAAATAAAATCAGAAATAATTTCTCAGATAACAACAGAGATTGTGTCCACAGTGAAAGAGATGATTAATAACTCTAGAGCATACACAGATTAAAAAAAATAGAAGAGCTGAGGAACATGATGGAATCCCAGCATAGAAACCAAATGGAATCTATAAAACAGATGTAAACAGATATCCAGGAGGTTAAAAACTCCATTGAAAATTTATGAAGCAGAATGAGACAATGTGAAGACAGAATATCATATATAGAAGACAGAATTTTGATTAGTGACCAGGAAAAGAAAGATTTCTTAAAAATAGTAAGCAACCATGAGAAATAAATCCAGCAG